CTGAGGCCGTCCGCTCCGCGCATCCTGCGCGTATCCTCTCCAAGGAGAGGAGAAAACCGAAAAATATATTTCTAATGGCTCTTTGATTAAATGAGACCCTCACTGGTCTTCTGTGGATGCAGAACGACTCTCGTAGTAATTGACGAGGCGACCCGTTTCCGCGGCGTGTTGGGCCAAAGTGACTTGTGGATATGTTGTAGCTGGTCATGTCGCATATTTTCCCGCATCCGCTCTTCTACTGTGCGGCCGGATTGGACGATGTAAAAAAGACCACTACTGCACGGAATTTCGTACACGGACATCTTGAAGAGGGTCCGGATGATCAATTACCAGAATGAGGCTTCCCTCGATTTTGTTGCGAGCATGAAACACGGGCCGGATATCGGCTGTGCGTAGACATCTACCAATGGTATCCATGACTCCTCTGATGTAAGATAGTTGAGCTGACTTTTTGGGCTAACTGGGAGGGCTTGATGCACGGCGGATCCGCTGTAACCATTAGCCAGAAAGGTCTCTCTTAATAGTGCCTTTTCAAACTCCAGGCTACTCTGATCGCATAAGAGGGGCGTGCGGTAGTTGAGGATATAAAGGACCACGTTGCGTGGCAGGGCGGTGGTGTGAGTCGGCACGTAGGTAGCGATTGATGTGGGTGGGTTTGCGGCAAACACAATGACCGAGTGTGCCATCAGGGCTCCTGGTTACTAGGACGTCCAGGAAAGGGATTAGTCCGTTTTTTCTGTTTCCATGGCGAATTTAATGCGCGGGTGGATGTTACTGTGGTGCGCGAGGAAGGTTTCAAGGGTCTTGGTGCCATGGGGCCAGATGGCGAATGTATCATAGATGTAGCGCAGCTATAGCTTCGGACTTAAGGGCGCGTTTTCTAAGGCTTGCTCTTCGAAGGCTCTCAAGAACAAATTAGCTATAGCAGGAGATAGAGGAGAGCCCATAGCGGTACCTTCTGTCTCAACATAACACTCTTGCCTGTATTGGAAAAACGTCGTTAGGGAGATCTCAGTGGATATGGCCCACTCCCTCGGAAGCTGGTGCAGTAAGATGTTGTCTTCCACGATCTTGATAGCGTCACAAGCCGGAGCCATGTTGAAGGGAGAGCTAACTTCGAAAATGACCACGATATCGTTAGGGCCTGTTCTGGTGGAGCGGATGAGTTCGATGAAGTATTTGGAGTTGAGAACGGGAGATGGCCGATGAGAGGTTTCGGTTTTTTTGTCAAGAAACGAGATAAATGTTGGGTAGGTGAGTTGATGGCACTTACTATTGGGCGAAGAGCTACTTCAGGTTTGTGGATCTTGGGTAGGCCATAGATGCGGGGTATGCTCTGGTTGTTGGCCAACTTGAGGATTTTCTTTTCTAGGTCACTGATGGAAGACGATTCGTTAATGCGCGACACAAGTTGTTGCCTCACCTTCCGAAATGGACTGATGTCCAGTTTCTGATAAGTGATACTGTCACTGAGTACGCTGGTCGTCTTGGCATGACATTCGGCGCTATCCGTGATCACAGTGGCGTTGCCTTTATCTGTGGGTGAATGACGATGTCATTCCGCTGTTTAAGGTGTTTCAAGGCCAATCTCTCATTACGTGAAAAATTGCAAGTTATCTCGAAATGTCGCGAGACGCCGCCAGGTACGAAAATTCAACAACTTAAAGCAAGTGAAACGTTCGACACGGCCGCGACAACCGGGGGGTCAACTTCGCCACCCCCAAGCAGATCCCTACTGATGACGTCATCGCAGCTGTGGGAACAACTCTACCGGAGTCGCGGGCTACGGGTCGAAACGTAAGACGGGATACGAGCGCAAATCTGAACCGCGCCACTTTCCCAACTTAATAATTCCCAACCTGCAATAATTTACCATTTTCAACTTGTTCTTTCCTCATATGAATGATGATCATAAACTTTTTTAGTAATATAACCGGAGCGACAATGCGGAAATTAGTATAAGATTCTGTTTATTTAAAATTCTAAATATGTTAATATATTTTGAACCCTATGTGATATAAACTTTTAACGATGCTTTGAAAATCTGTGTGATTGAAATGATCTATTTTTATCCTAGAGGTATGAAAAAAACGTTACTTAATTTAATCGTTCTTTATTCATTCATGGTCTTTTATCTCTCGACCAGGGATTCGGCAACGTTAAATTCCGCAGTTCTCAGACGGTCACCCAACCAGGAGCATGCGATGACTCCAGCTGCTTAACATCCAAGACGGCACAGAGAGTAGTTAGGGAATTCGGATAGCAATGCCGGCATTACGTGGAGAATTTAAAAGGTGTCCTTTAATTTTGAGGGAGACTCTACTAGGGCATCCTAGTTATTACGGAAGGACGTAATATATTTTCATTCTTTTTTTCTTGAATCACTCCAAAAAATTTTAGTTTTATTAAAATCATGTCATCGGTTTAATATTAGCACGACGTTATATAAGCAGGTAAATGAGATTTCGATTTCTGGTTAGTACTGTGAATTTGGTAGGAGACTTGGCGGTCATACGAAATTATTATTTTTTTGTTCCATTCACATTATTTTGTATGATTGTCTCAATTTGACGATCGTCTCCTTTTTAGCTCAAGAGCCAGAAATTGAACTATTAACATATGCTGAATGCCATAGAAGTATCAGCTTTTGCTTGTGGCTATCTGAAAAGTTGATTTAATTTTTCTATTGGTTTCAGATCGACTGAAGGACGATAAATGAGGAATGATGTAAGTAATCGTTTCTTTTTTTTACAATATTATTTTGATTGATTTTTGCCCTTGTTTTCTCTCTATTTCGCCCTCTTTTTAATTCTCCTGCTCTTCATGAGGATGGCCAGTGAACCAGGAATTCTTGGTAAACAGAGGGAGGAACGGGAACTTTCAAAAGTCTTGAGAAATCGCGGAAAAACGGAAATTTGATTTGAAAACAAGAATTTTTAGATTTATCACCACATTTAGCACACATTTACATACGTCATTTAATAATGAGTTACAAACTGGTGCTACTGCGACAGCACATACATTGTCGCATTATCTCTAACTTGTGCAATTTTGGAAAATTCAGAAAGTTCCGCGAAAACGTGACCTGCGTAATTGTTTTAAACATACCTTGCTATTTCAGTGGAAAAAATTAAAGAAACTAGAGGAGTCACAACAACACATTGTTGCAGTATTTCTAAATTATGCGATTTAGAAAAATTCAGAAATTTTCAAGAAAATGAGATCTGCGTTATTGTTTTAAGCGGCACTTGTTTTATCAACGGGAAAAAATTAAAGGAATTAAAGGTGCTGCCACACGTCATAATGGGCACGTAATACGTATTATAATTCTCTTGTGATTTCTGTTTTAACCTCAGCCATCATTTGTAGAAGTACAAACATTCAAACAAAGCTCCTATGGTGCACATTTGCAATTATTTCGATAGTGAGCAACAGTAGACCTTTACTACATTTACAAAAGAGGCAAACATGAATAAATCTCTACAGTTCACAATTTTGGCATCACATTATACAGACAAGCAATGGTAATTTCAAACTATAAAAACTAAAAGCTATAAAAACTTAATATTCCCTGTAATTTCACATTCAGTACTTTAAGTAATGAAAATATTTTTATATTTTTTTAAAAAGTTAAGACTTTCTTTATTTCACATCACTTCTCTGTCAAGAAGAAGATTTGAATTTTATATCTAACCTTAACAGTAGAAGCGAAAATATGGGGGGATATTTTGGATCTTCTGCTACAGACTCGAACACAACTTAAAGAAATCTTCCTATTCCAAAACAGAACCTCGGACTATCTATAAGGTAACATTATTATAATGGTACCGGAAAAGAGGGTACGGAAGCATGAAATTTTATGCAAAACCAAAATTGACACTACTATGGTTAGGTACAGCTGACATGTCAGAGTTTGTTCACGTAAAATGCTGAGATTGTCTATTGATTCGGAATTTTCCAGTCAATATTCAAATATTTCTTATGAATTGGTTACCGAAGATTTGAAAGAAGTTATTAGAAGTTAGGATTATTAGGTTTTTATGATGCCTCTTTCGATCTAAATTAACAATTCAAAAAAATAAAGACCCCGTGAATATCCCGGCATAAAAGCGAAAATTTCACAAACCCAACTGGTTTCGGAGAAGAGAGAAATACCGGATAATAATCGAGGGGACAATAGTAAAGAAAATAGAAAAGTAAGTAAAAAACCTCGCCTGAAGATCCAGGAAGGAATCTTCAAAGCACACGCAGAAGAATCAGAATCAACCCCCGAAACCTCCAGCTCTGCTTACACAATAAACTAAACTGGTTTGTCACGAACAGTCATCGCGTAACAAACCAGGTAACTAACGATTGTTCAGTGGTGGCTATGTTATCGATGGAGGTGGTTTCATTCAACGATGAACCTTGGCAAGATGTGCAGGTACATCATTGATCAGGTAGAAGACAACGGGTTCATACTGTCGTCCGGATGGCGGAGATCGTTAAGGCAGTAGTGTCGTAGAGGTCTCGAACTGAAAGATGGGAGGTTCGAGTCCCGCCTCGCGCATAATTGTATTTGTGTTCGTCCTTACAACCTTGATCATCATCAACATGTTCATATTTATCTTAACGTGAAATTCAATAGTGGTCACTAATGACCTAGACGTTGATGCGACTTTAAATAACAAAAAAACGTATTAAAAAACGTATGCGATCGTTGTATCAAACAACTATTCATATCCGTTTCCAACGATTCGTGTCATTTAAACACAAAATCTATACTAATTTCACCGTTATATTACCCCGGTTATTTTACTACAAAATTTTATGAGCATGCTTCATTTGAGATAAGAAAAAGTTAAAAATGGAATACACATACTGGTGCAATAGTATTGAAACATTTTGGAAAAAAACTCATACTGCTTTGCTTAATTTGTGGCACTCCAACACCACATACTTTCTCGCAATATTTTGTTACTCTTGTGTAATGTTATGTCATAATATCTTCCTTCCGTCTGCTTTAAATATCACTTTATCACAAAAATAAAGAAGTATGAAAAATATATTTTTTATTCAAAAGTTAAATTAAAATACATTTCTGGCATGTATAGAGTACTCAGTGTATTCACGAACTTATGCGATGGGTATTTTAGCATTTAATTATTCTGCGTAAGCACTGTGCGAGAAAGTAAAATAATGAATAGGTAATAAATAATACGATCCATTAGCGTCAGAGGCAGCGGCGGCGAAATATAATTCGAAAAATATGTAATAGTTATTGTTAAATCCTTTAGTATTGTAATATTTGCCCAAACCCGTTTCTTTTAATACGAATTACACGTTACTCCGTGTCCAAATGTGTAATGCTAAATGCTCCAAACGTTTTCACCCCTACGAAAATTTCCCCAAAATCTCATTACTCATCGTAAAACAAAGTATCGTTTCCATCTTTAGACGTTAAATTAAAAATGTAAGTAAGTAAATGAAACAAAGCCTTATAACAGTTCCATGTGAACGTCCAATATACAGAAGAATTCAAAGGAATTCCGCATATCATTATCTTGTCTGGTCGACTTCAACTATAATTCTCAATTATGTATTTCGCCATGACACCGAACTTTTTCATTATGTTTAATTGTTGAGTAGAGTAAAACACGTTCAATATAAATGTACAGGCACTAAATTTAGGCAATTCCGAAATTTTGTAACAACTGTATTCCAAAACACCTTTCCAACCTTTTCCTTTCATTTTTTCCTCAATTGTAAGAAAGTCAAAAAATCGGCTCTAGTCCCAATTCCCCGCGAACTCTATACTTTTGGAAATTGCTAACAACAACATAATTCACATTATATAAGTACAAATTTAGTAATAAGAGTATTTTACTTACCCGGATACATATGTATATAGGAAAAGTTAGGAAATGCTATGCGAAAAAACGGCAGAAACAATCATTGCCGGATCTTGATTACGAAAAAGTGATTAAATAAAGTTGCTAAATTAAGAAAACAAACTAACACGTGGTGTAGCCAGAATTCCTTATTTGTGGTCCTTGATACCGAAAAATCAATTGACGACAAAACGTCTGTCCATCCGTCTGTGAACACTACTAGTACCTAAATCATGCGTAGGAATTTTCCAAATTGAAGAAACCCCTGTCCACCTGATTTGAGTCGAAGCTTTGAGATTTTAGAAAACATTCTTTAAAATTTGAGGGTATTTTACTAGAAGCCCTCCTGACGTTTTCAAAAATTTCCGCTCCAAATATTTTCTGTAAATTTCTTGTTAGATTGAAGTCACATACACTTATAGAAGTGGCGTAGATCCGATTTTCACGGTTAACTCTGAATTTTTGACAATTGCAAAAGTATGAAGATTTTTCAGCATCTTCCTTCTACTACCAAATAGAAGATGGAGGTTTTTCCTTCAAAATAAATTTGTTGCCCATAATTAGTTATTTCGTAAAAGTCATGTACATTTTTTTGAAACTTTAAGTTGTTTTTCGCGCAATATTGCGTACATTATTTGCAGTTTTAAAAAATTACAAAATCATGATTTCCTCAAGAACTGTTGCACTTTTTTCTTTAAACTAGCGGTAGGAATAGTGCTACATGCACTCTAGGTAATGACATAAACGCAATATTGCTCTTTTCTTTTGTTTTACAAAAATTACAAAACAATTTATTTTTACGTGTCTCTCACGTCGAAAATATTTATATTAGCGAAGATTTGTTCATATTTTTATATTTATGAGTACATGCTCTTTACACAAAGTTTTATAAATCTTCTCGAAAACTCAACCATTTTTTGTTAAAACTCTCTAAAAAGGTCTGCATTTCCAGAAACTCTCTAACGCTATTTTCTCAAAAACCGCTCCAAATTTTGTTTTTAAACTTTTCAAAGAGATAGGGCTAATTTCACCGTTTAATATCAAGTGAAGTTCATTTTGAGATATACTTTAGTTCTTTCTAGACTTATTCAAATGTAATGTTTTTAGAAAATCACGCCTTTAATATGCACATTTCCACCAGCTTGTAAACACTATTGTATTAAAGTTTGTGTGCGTTAAATGACTTCTAATAGAGTTTTTCGAAAACTTAGAAATTTTCTGTGAAAAAGAGCTTTAAATTTCGAATTTACGGTGGCGCTTGAACGCCATTTTCTAAAAGAGGCTCCAAATTTTTCAAGTAAAATTGCCATTTAGAATGAAGTTTTACTGTTCTTAAAATAATATTTCTGTTTTACTCTTAGTAATCCAATTAATTGCAAAAATTGCGAAAATTTGTAATTAGGGTGGCGATAGATGACAGCTGGCAACAGTAGGTGGCAAGTCCGATTGCTAGCCGAGACCAAAGGAAATAGAAAACTAATACGAGAAATTCTGCGCCATTATGTAGTTCTGTTTAAAGTGATGTCTTAAATCTGTTTAAAATTATGTCTTTACAAAGAGGTCATGTAATTTAAAAAAATAGTGGTGATACAACAGCACGTACTTTCTCGGGATATTTTAATGAAGTAATATAATAATAGGACAATTTATATCTTACACTTCCCCAAAAAATTGTTTATATAAACGCAAAAGGTAGTCATTATCGCCTTGTTACCAGTGTGCGTTACAACAATGAGTTGCAAGCAACAATGACCGCAAATTAGTATGAGATACAAATTTAGCCAATTAGCATTGTTGATACCGATAGCAAGAAAAGAGTAAATGAGAAGATTTTTTTACTGAAGGGGTACCCCAATAGAATTTTGTTTCGAGATCACAATTTAACATCATGGGTAAGTGTAATTGAAATCTTAGAGGAATGATCAATTCCGGTTTTTTAATACCATTAGGTCGTATTTAATAGTGATTTAATAGTTTTCTCTTTTGCATTATATGTCTAAAATTTGGACACCGAACAAAATTCAAGATTGTGAGATTGTTCTAAAAGTGAACAAATGAGAAGTGAAATGAATTTCCAAAATATTTAAGCGTCATTTTTATTGCAATTATTTTCTATGGCATCAAGTATTACAAAATACTTTTATATCTAGATAATCACACTTCCACTCATTCAAGAAGATTTTGTTTAATTTATTAAGGTGTAGATCGTGATGGAACAATCCAATATTACAAAAAAGTAAGGTTTAATGATTTTTTATTGACAATCACCTTATTCTTTCTAATTAGCTGCATATAGTAACGTTTCGGAGATGTTTTGGATATCTTCGCCATCTTCAGACACTGAAATTGCACTATTAAAAATCAACATATAGTAAAACCAAACATTACAAGTTCCATTCAAAACGCGGTACACGTATATAATACATTTCTATTTACACCTAACAAGCAGATATGCCACCAGTTATATTGAATTGTAGACAAGCGTATACTTGTTGTAAGTAGGCTGTAGTCTACATCGTCTAAAAATTATAACAAACATTTGGATGAGGTTAATATTAATATAACGCTAAAATCAACAATCTACCTCAAGCAATAATGAATCTAAAGGATGTCGTTAAATTGTAAATTGATATCCTAAAACACTAGACCAAACAATAAAGTCACATTCACAAAAACACCTATTACCTATATCTACAAATATTCTACTAAAATTAAAAACTCATGAACGCGAGCACGATATCAAAGGTCAGGTCAGAGTCGAAGTAACGTTGCCACTGAAGTTGGCACGGGAAGTGTAAGGAGGAGAACAAGTGAATGGATAAGGGGGGCAGGGGGGAGGGAGGGGGTCAAGAAAAAGGTAAAAGGAGATGAGCGTGTCAGTAATGAGTTACTATTGTTGGCGGTTAACCAGCACATTATCATAGCAATTAGTAAAAATATTTATTTTTGTCTTATGATCAAGACAAAGTTTTCCATGAAAGTTATTTTCTTGCGCTAAAATAGTTGGATTACCAAAATCCATGTGGTGGACAGTCTTACAGAAGAAAGTAAAAGGGAAACCGTTTTTGACGTATTAAAGGTCTCAGAACTGGTTATTCGTAAGGTAAGAACTGGCATGAATGAACAAAGTGATGTAAGAAGTAAACGCTTTTATCATTGCCGAATAATTATGCAAAATTTTTAATAATTTAGATTTTTCATTTAAAAATGAAGAGAAATTAAATTCAACAGTTCAAAGGAGCATTTTATTTGTTTCAATGAGGTGCATTTACTAGCGGAATCAAACGAAAAGAAACTAAATTATACTCGTTTAAAACTATTCTTTTTCATGCGTAATTGAAATATTTGCAGTATTTCTTTTTTAAATACACCTACTTTATGTATAATACATCTCTAAAATATGCGCCCCAAAAACTCAAAAATACTGTTTTTTAAATACAAAATGATTTACAATACGTGTTTTAAATTGAAGTATTTAAATACTGCCCAACACTGCTAATGCAAAACTAAATATTTTCAAGTAAATATCAACACAGATTTGTCACTTATAACTGCTGTTCATGAAGGTAAATTTTGTCTCAAAAATAAGACGCCATTCACGAAAATTAACCTCCGAGTCACTTTGACCAGTCCATGTGGCATTCCTATCCGAAATCCCTAGCAGTATTTCCAAAAGGTTTAAGAAATTTCTAAAAGATTAATTTTTAAATGTATAACAAAAAATGTAAGGAACGAACAAAAAAATTTGAAATAACATACTAGTACAAATTCCAACTTACGAAGCATCTAACTACTGAAAATGAGTCCACGAAGCACAGTAAATTCGGGAAGGGGGATATTTTTGACAATTTACCAGAAAAATACTCTTATTTTCAAAAAATTGAACGTGATCTCATTTGAAATTTTATTTTTGATAAACAAATTTCATTAAGCAAAAGAATAGTAATTTTACTGCTTCACGCAAAAATTACAAAAAAATTTCCATATTATCAAAAAACTCATCGTGACCTTACTTGAAGGTCTGTTTCTTATGAACACATTTAACGAAGATAAAAATTGTAAATTCACATTTGTTGTAGGAACATGTCAATTTTTTTTTTTTTCGAAAAAATACTCATTTTAACGAAAATGAGATTTGCACCATTCTCTTAAGCCGGAAGGCGGCGCCACGGCCGAGGGCGTGGACTTCGAGCGGAAGGTGGCGGAGCCGGCGGCGCTACTGTCTATTAGAGAACTGATTCTGTGGCCAAAGGGATGAGTGTTTTCTTGACGTGGCAGGGCAGCGACGCCACGGCCGCAGCTGCCGCAGGCGCCGCCCAGCGCGCGCCTGGAGCGCCTGGAGGGCGGCGCCACCGCCGAGGGCGTGGACTTCGAGCGGAAGGTGGCGGGGCTGGCGGCACTACTGTCTATTAGGGAACTGATTCTGTGCCAATGGGATGAGTGTTTTTCTTGGCGTGGCAGGGCAGCGGCGCCATGGCCGCAGCCCCCGCCGGCGCCGCCCAGCGCGCGCCTGGAGCGCCTGGAGGGCGGCGCCACGGCCGAGGGCGTGGACTTCGAGCGGAAGGTGGCGGGGCTGGCGGCGCTGCGGTCGCGCCGGCTGGGCGCGCGCTTCCAGGTCTTCTCCAACGTGGCCGCCGCGCATCCGTTCGACGACGTGGTGGTGCGGCTGACAGTTTCAGCCTCTTCCCCTCCCTCCGCCACCGCTGCCGCCGCCGCCGCCAGCGCGGCAGGTCAACAAGCCCTTGAGGACGCTTGGGCCACATACTTCCTGCAGCTCAAACACACCGGCACCAAGGCGCTGTCCCTGAAGGTATGAGTGCTCCCTGTTCAATAACGTATGCTCCACTATCCCTGGTATTATTAGATTTCTCGCATTCCAGTGCAACTCTAATTCCCCCACAAGGGGCCTGCACACCTTTTTGCACTGTCACCGTCGGGATCCGGGCGCGAGACATTCGAGAGCAAATGCGGGCATTTGGGAAGGATGGAAATGAGTGGGGATCAACAATGAAAAAGCGAAGTGGATCGGTAGATTGTATGTCGAAAGAGAAATTGGTGGAACATAATAGTTACGAACAGGTCAAATAATATTTACGAACGGGCTTTACCTTGATCCACTTCGCTTCTTAACAAGAATTATTCTTTCTTGAATAAAAGAAAGTAAAGTAAAAGGAATAACATAAAATGTGTCATATCACTTGAACATTTACATATGAGATTAACACAATTCGTCAGGAGAAGTAATTGAGGTCTGTCTCCTCCCATGTTATTATTCCGCCCTATTTTTCGGAATTTATTTCCCAGGGCAACACGTCGTCGTAATACTGTCACTGACGCCATCCACGATACTGATGTTTGAGCTGCACGGCATGGTGATGATGTACGACATCGCCACACTTGCCATTTGTTTTATTTTGGAAATGTTTGTTGTTGATAGATGACAAGATGAAATATGAACCTAAAATGAATTAGATATACGTATTTGAATAGAACACCAAGTATTAAAATTGTTTCTAGTGGTGATAAATATTCACTTTGCTACGATGTAATAAACAATAGAAAGTAGTGCTAATACAAATTTGTCATATTGAATTGATTTTGTTTAATAAAGACAGTAATATTTATTTCATTAATTATTTTTACTAGAGTTTTTAATAAGAAGAGTTAATTGAATTTCAATTGATGTAACAGCTGCCATATTAATATTGAAATTTGATTATTTTGAATGCGGATCTCCAAAAGTTTAAACAAATTTGTGTTATTAGATATAATGAGTTCTTTCGGCTTTAATTTCTGAGTAGATCAAATATTTCTAATTTCAAATAGGACGTTTACATTAAAATAATCCTACATAATCTCCTTCGTTTTGCAATTATTTGCAGAATATAACATTCTCGGTGAAAAATCAATTATTAAATTTCTACACATTTTTGTTAATTAGAATTTCATAATTATTTTTACTTTCTCGCGTTTAAGAAGGAACTTACTAAGAAGAAAAAGTTGTGTAAAGGTGCGCGAAAAAACGGTGAATTTTCGACAGAAAAACTGTTATTGCAAAGCTCTAGTCACACAAAAGTAGATAAATCCAGTTACTAAATTTAGAAGAAAAAAATCTTTAACACATGGTGTTGCCAGAATCCATGTTTTGTGGGTCCTTGATACCGAAAAACTGATTGACTGCAAAACGTCTGTTAGTCCGTCTGAACAACCATTCAGTCAATTTTTCCATAATCGATAATTTCTTAATCGATCTGTCCGATGTCGCGCGTCATTGAATTTGAAACCTACATTTTAATTTGTGTACTTAACGCGAAAATGTATTTTTGCTGTATTGTAACCACATTTTAAAAAATGTGGTGACATCGATATTGATTAAATTTTGTTGTTAGATAGTCTGAAGGGCAATTAAGAAAATGGTGCAGGTCTAATGTCGGTTAAAACTCTGAATTTTCGACAATTGAAAAAAATCCAAAATTGTTAAGGTGTTTTCCTACAACTACAATTATGAAAAACGATTTTTCTCTGATGAAATTTGAACATCAAAAACATATTTTCAAATAAGATCACGTTGAATTTTTCGAAACTCCGAGTATTTTTTGAGTAATTAAACATCAAAGTTAGTCGCCCGCTCTGATGGTAATGTTAGGTGTTTTGAGGAGTCCAGAATGTAAGTCAGAATGTGTATGGTATTTCGTATTTCTTTGTTCGTTTCTTACATTGGATCTCTTTAAAAAGTTTACAAATTAATCTTTTAGAAATAGTTTAAAACCAAATCGAAATAAAAATGAAATAAAGACTGCTAGCCTTCAGTCACTCACAATTTACGCTGTTGAATGCTATATAAGTAATAATTTGTATACTATTTTATATTTCACATTATTATTTATTATATATTTATGTTATTCAATTTTAAATAGCGTCATTTAATTGTGTTAAATGTGAAAACGAATAACATTCGGTCATTGTTGGTTGTTACCGATTGTTGTCAGGCCGCACAGACAACACGATAATGATGGCTTTTTTTCGTTCTCGGAGATAAAAACGAATACTGTACCTTTCTACCAGAATGACACAGGCGTGTATTACAACGTAATGGATGCAGCTAAAAAGTTAAAATCCAAGGAACACGCGTAGCATAGGAACGAACTATAAACATTTAGGCACCATTTTGTATGCTAGACAGGATTTTTATTGTCGAAATGCGGCACAGCCTGGTGTCATTAAAAAGGAATTGATTAGGGGAGGGCGTTGAAAATTCTCATTCTCGCGGTAGCGGCCAAGCAGTTCACATGGTATGAACATTATGAATTTGTAATTTGGCGATAATAGGTTTATGTTGTAGGTAAATGTTTGTTTGGTTAATTCATAATAATAGTGTAGGCTAAGTACTATTGTTTATTTGAGTTTTAAGCGGGTAAAAGTTTGCATTGTTGTAATAATAGTTGCATTTGTTGTCGTGTATGAATTTTACATTTAGAAATATTTAGACTTCGTGTTCAGTGGTTTATTTGAGGTTAATTTCGTAGTGAGAATTGTAAATTATTAATTTTAAGGAAATAGTAGTCAGGAATAGAGGTTTCACCCCAAACCTAGGGTGAAAAAAATAGGGAAAGTCGCGACGCGATAATATCAGACGAAGGGATTTTTCGAATAGCGGACTGTATAATTAGCAACTATCGGGTGCCATTCAAAGTTTACATGGACATTAGATTCATAAATTACATCACCAGAAGACCCAGGACATCCCCTTTTGGAGAAGATCATATCAACCGAGAAAACATTCCGTAAGCTTACGAATTTAATCAAAGCCGTATGATTGAATACTATTTGAAGTCCATATCATCATGAATTAATGAAGAGTTCGATACATGTTACTAAAATGTTATAGTAATACATTTTATTTGTTGTTTGAAAAGAAAAGGCTGATATTTCATTGAATTGCCATTAACTCAGTATGTAGTAAATTCCACAGAAGTTCCAGGAATCATTATTTTTGTACAGTCACACATCCACGTACAGCAGGTAAGGTGTGTATGTTGTACGTCGAACTCATACAAGATCCTAATGAAAAAAACAGCTAGCCCAATTATTAATTATTGGAGCAATTAAAATATGAGCATAGCAGACAAATTAAATTTTAAAAAACTCATAAATCATTGCAAATGGTTACCCAGCTGAGAGATTGATATAAGTTGAGTTAAAGATAGTTGATAAATTACAAAGGTTTAATTACGTTACACATTGGCATGCTCAACGCAGGGCACGTTCATTTCGCTTACAATGCTTTTTTATATTTGTAGAATATAAAAATACCATAGTGTTTAATACTATCTATTATATATTTTCTTACCTGCTGTATGGAAGCCACCAGTGGCGGAAAAAACGGCTCAACTTACATTTCATTTTTTCTATTATAAACATTTCATACGATGAATTGAACTTCATTCACTTTCTTGTAATATTAAATGATATAACATCCCTGCTTTTTTTCTTTCTTTCAGTTCTTAAAGTGTTAAATCTATTTTTTAAATTTTTATATTATTAGTAATCTATTTAACCTCATTTTGTTTTTTACTTAAGTTTTAATGTTTTTTTTAAAAAAAATTATGTACTAGATAACTGATGATGAAGATAAGCCATCGAAATCTGCTCTTATAATAAACAATATTGATGGCAATGACGACTCACAATTGTTTCGTTCTAAGAAAAATATTCTTTAACGTGTAAGAAAATAAATGTCGAGATTTAGAACAATAGATCCGTTTTCTTTCTTTCGAACAATAGTCCGCTTTTCATTAATTTTGTTTTTTTCTTTAGTCAGGAGGATTATTTTCGTCCTTCTTTACTATAAAATACTTCAAAATCAGCACTTATCATTTGTGGAAGAAGAAACAAAAAGGAAACATCAGAACTGACAAGTGTCCAAATCTATTTTCCTACTCCGTAATAGAATGACTATTAATCCAAGTAAATGAATGAATAATTTTATATAAAAAAACAACCAAAATTAATTTGCTTCAAAAGAGGAGCTTTTGAATATGTTGCTTCCAGAAGTCGCTCTAAACTACTAATAGAAGTAGAAAAGAAGAAAGATATTCGGTGAGATAATTCGGAGAGCACTAGATGAATGCAAGAGAATTGTATGAACATTTTTTGAAAGTAAAAAAATGGACAGTGATACTGAACAAAATGCATCATTTGCATATTGTTTGTGATTTTTTACACCACGATACACGACCGATCATATAAAGTTATTTTCATGGTGATGAAAAAAACAAATAAATGTGTCATGTACGGTAACTATTTGCATACCGTTTCCAAGCAATTTGTTTGAAAGATCGCATGTCTAATTTCGCCTTATAAAACGACACTTATTATGAATGACATAAAAATTTATTATCCGTTCACCCTACGTAAGAAAAAATCTGATGTAAACAAACTGAAAAAATTTTTGCGCTTCACTACGCTTCTGATTGGACTAGTGTACCCCGCCAAATCAAAATGAATAAGCGCTGTAATCGAAATGGTATGGCCAGGCTTCTGCTGTACTTACGATCAGTCTGCTTCAAGAAGTAGTAGGTAATAAGCAGATGTCAATTATTTGTATCAATTGGTTGCCCTAAAATTCAGAAGTTCTGGATCACAAGTTGCAACATTTTCTAAAGCGTTGGTTTTTTGTTTCTGCACTTTTGATGCAAAGAATGCACTTTCGATCGAATAACACTGAATATATAGTCATCGTATGCTTCAATCATAGTTTCTTCCCATTTCTTTCCTTCTTTGCCGTTTATAGTTGTGTCTTGTCAGTGAGATCTTTCTAGAGTTTCAATACGCTGGGTACGGATATCCCAGTGAATTCTGCGATTTGCTACATCAGTAACGACGGCTTCCTGTGCAATAACAAATTGAAAACGTTCGGAACGATGCGCTTTTCGCAACTTCGAAGAAACTTTTCACACGTGTGTTTAATTATTGAACGGCCAGCCACACTCATTGTAAAACGAATTGAATAGCAGGGCCTTGCAGGCCGATCGGCGGCGCGGCGCCAGGAGGTGGGCTGAACTATCTGAGGCTCTTACCCTTATCGCCCAGCCACACTTATTCAGTTCACAATGATCTCCTTTCTTGAAACCGTTGCAATAGTTTTGACGCAAGGTTAATTTAATGAACGATGACGGATTTATCAGTTCTTATACAGAGAACCATTTACTTTAGCGTCAGGGTCCCGACAACAGCATAGCTCACACTCTGGCTCTATATACTCTCTGGCTCACACTGTTAACAAATCAGAATCCAAAATACACGTGTATTTGTTAACATCAGGATTTTTCTTAGAGTCAACGGATAATAATGGCGCTAAAACCGCACCCACGTTATCCCCAGTATTTTCATGCAAAATTTCGCGAAAAGTATTCAAATTTTCGAAAAATTGTAATAGACCTTATTTCCAAATCTATATTTAAGGAACGGATTTCATTAAGAGCAAAAACTTCTATCTTTAGTATTTTAGTTGCAGAAAGACCCCGAAAAATGTTCGCACTTTTGCAATTTTCGAAAAATCAGGATTTTTAACAAAATAAGACCTGTATCATTCTCTTAAAAGTCCTTTACACTATCCAATAACAAAATTCAATAAAAACGATGGTGGGAACAATGGATTTTTTTGAAAATTTGGAATATGTCTCAGGGGCTTCATGTATAGAATAGAGTGTTATTATGTATAGTAATAGAGTATTATTAAAATATAAATTTCAAATTCAAGAGAACCCGATATGACAGATAGAATGGGGAATATCGAGTTGGGAGAAAATCGACTGAACGGTTTAACTGGTAGCGTTATTCAAGCTGGATGGGCAGACAGGCGTTTAGCCGTAATTTGATTTTTCAATAACAATGGTCTACAAAACATGGATTCTGGCTACACTACGTGTTAGAGAATTTTTTCTTAACTTATCAACTTTTTATCCACTTTTTTGTTACCAGAGTTTTGTAAATGCGTTTTTCTGCTAAAAATTTGTATTTTCGCGGGGTATTACATAACTTTCTCTCTACTGTGTAGTGAGAAACTAAAAGGCATGATATTACTTAAATTATTACACTTTTCTAGAAAATATATATTTGTTATTTGGTGGCACTATCGCTATAGAAATCTCCTTTCACAATACTAACAATATCTAAAGTTACATTTACACATTGAAAAGCGTTAAATGTACACATTTCTCCGATTGGGCCAAGGAACGGCACATCCACATAAATCTAGCCAAAGGCCAAGCCAAACTCTTAACGCTCCGCGGACTAAATAACCCTCCCCTTCTTTAGTATCAAGGACAAATAATAGCTCGGCTCCTATACAAAAAAGCCAGTCAAATATCTCAGTCTCCTCTTAAAAAATGTATTATATAATTTTAAACTCAAGATAAAGCTACGATACAAAGCATAGATGAACAACTAGTACCATATCTTCCTAGGTACTCGCTTTCAAATTCTGGGAAATATTTTGTTTAATCTTTTCTAGGAATTGAAAATTTAACATTCAATTCAATTGGATGGCATCGGTTTTATTTAAACTTTTCTTATTTGCGATAAAATCCCCAACTTTTCAAAAATTGCAACTGCCAATTTTTTTTCTGCGATTTCCTCCGTGCACAATATTGAAGAAAGAGATTCTTCCTACTATGAAATCTGTTGCTTGAAAACAGGTTTTGAAATAATGTCATATACCATATTTCAAAATATGTGTAATTTCGCTGAGTAGGTGAAGATACGTTAAAACATTTTTCACATTAAAAAAAAAAAAACTTCTCGAATGTAACAAAGGAGGTAAAAAATATATCATTAGTCTCATTTTTGGCAAACTCCCAGAAATTTAAAAAAAGTGCCAATAGTTAACATATCAAAAAACAAGCTCTACTTCAAAACCAACAGCGAGTTAACTTGGAGGATGTATGTTCGAGTCTCGATGCCGAAAACATTTGGCAATTTAAAACACTTTTGCAGATTTATGTAGTAGTATAATATAGCGGCGCAGTTGGAAATAATGTGAGAAATTATGTGCTGTTGTAGCGTAAGTTCGTGTACTTTTACTTGAAGCCTAAACAGCATCTTCAAAGTTTGTTAAAAATGTTCAATTTTTTTGTAATAATCGTTGTCTTCGGATAAAGTAAAGAACTTTGGAAGAATGGCCCAGACTATTTTCATTGAAGTCTGATATTTTGAAAATTACAACAGTACAACATTTCTAGCGGTTGTTTACGACTTGAACCTGGAAGGTAGATACTTTTTCTCAATCAAAACTGTTATTGAAATATACTGAAATAAGACCATGTACAATTTTTTGAAATTGTAACTTCCTTTTGAGTAATTTTGCATTATACATCGGCAGTTTTTGATTTCCTGAAAAACGCCCTCAAACTATTTCTTTAAATGATCACCTCCAACCTATGAAAGTGATGCAGCACACACGTTCCTGCCAAGAAAAACCTTTTACTAATATGATACAGTTGTTTCGTCGGAATTAACACATTTCAGTCATCATGGTTTGTAAAACTCATTACAAATCGTAGAATTTAGGCGCTAAAAGTAAAAATTTTGAAGTAAATGTCAATACACATTCGACAATTAGATCTGCGTTTCATGTAGTTAAATCATGTCGCCAATGAGATAAAAAATCTTAGAAAATCCAACTGCAGACTCGCGATGAAGAATGCCATTGTCGTACTCCAATCTGATATTTTCTGAAGATTAGCAACTGGAGCCTAGGAAATTGGAAGTTTTAAAATTAAGCTACACTACTATTAAAAAAATTACATGACGTTAAAAAAATTAAACGTATTTTTTTAACAAAGAAACTTTTAGCATTATAATTTTACTTTAAGAATGTTAATTGTGTTGTATGCAATTTCCAAAAATATTGAGTTCACCGAAAAACGGACGAGCTTCAATTTCCTAGTCTTTCAAGCTATATTCGAGGAGAAAATGAAAGAAAAAATATGGAGACGTTTTGTGCAATATAATTATTAAAAACAAAACGGTATTGCCCAAGTTCGAACAACATTACAGTACTCATTTTTTCCCCAATTTTCTTTCTCATCATATTTTTAAGAAAGATAACCTATATAGACAAATTTCAATTAAGATTTGGGGATTGTGTGATAAAAAATACACCAAGACATTGAAAATACAAATACAATTCTCGCAACACGATCGAAAAATATGTATTACCAAATATGTTTGAAATTATTTTTAAAAGATTAATTTGTAAACGTATAACACAAGCTCGAATGCAAGAAACGAACAAAGAAATATGAAATAATATTCACATTCCATCTTACGCAGCATCCAACTTCCTCGAATCACTTCTCATATTACGGGCCCAAAGCGCGGGAAATTCAGAACGGGCGAATGTTAGACGCCAAATTTCACTTATATTTTCCAAAAATTGAACACAACCTCATTTGTAGATTTGTTGTTGTTGAACAGATTTCGTTTAGAAAATAATTATCTACATGATTGTAGTGGAAGGAAGAGGGTGAATTCTGTTTTAATTTTTGAAATTTTTAAAAATATAGAATTTTTAACGAACATGACACCTGAAGCCGCCGAAAAAAATTTGTCAATGACTTGGGGGAAAATGTCCCAAGGGCTTTATGAAAAGAACCCCCCAAATTCAAATATCTATTTCAAATTCAAAGGGCCGCTTCATTTCAGAGAATACTGAATGGTTAAGCCACTAGCCATGTTCACAGATGGACATTCTCCCGACAATCGATTTTTCGGTATCAAGGACTCACGAAACAAGGATTCTGGGTATTCTGCGTCTGAAAGGATTTTTTCTCAATTTTCCATCTAAATTTGTCCACTTTTTCTATTCCAGAGCCTATCAAAAGAGTTTTTCTACCAAAACCGCCATTTTTTTCACAGCATTCTCTCTACTGCATAAGCGGTAGCGAGAAAGTAAAAATCAGCTCTTAAAAAGTTTGTCACATTTTTGAAAAAGTGAGGTTTCGCGTAATTTGGGCTTGAAATTAAGCAGTTTTTAAAAGCATTTTCTGAAACTGCTGCTATAATTTTCCTCAAATCTTTTCACTGTTAAAATAAAAAACTTAAAAGAATTGTTCAGATTTATTTTTCCCTTAAGTCTGTGAAGTTTCGAAAATTTAAAGTGTAGAATAATGCTTGGAAGAAGACCTATATGCTATTTAGCACCACTAGTTTGAAGAATATAAGTGACTTTTAATCTCTTTATTTTCTCGGATGTTTCATGTTGGGAGTGATATTCTTGAATGTGGTACAGAGAAAAGTTTTAGTGTAAGTAGAGCACATTTGTAAAGAAAAATCAAGAACGTAAGTGCTGTTGGAGCATCATTAGTTGTTTTACGTCTGATATATTCAATTTGTATCCCCTGTATCATATATCAACTCTCATTCATTTTCGCAGACTTTCACGACTAATAGGAACTTCCATTTGAAGAAATACTTCGAGTTCTTCCTGAAGCTGCGTGGCTGGCACGAGAAGAAGCAGAATCCGCAGGAGGCTCTGGAGGATGGACAACGCCTCCTGTGCCAGGCGCTGATGGAGCACTGCCGCTTCGTCATCTTCACCACGCAAAAGCGCTGGGTGGGAGCATCGACTTGCGCTGCCGACGACGAGGACGTCCACAAGATGGCGCGCGAAATTCTGGACACCGGGGAAACTCACGACTGCGTCCTTCGATTCACTCAGAACGACAAAAAGGTAGGAGGCATTGCGCTACAGTATGTTTTGCTGGCCTGCAGTGGCTGCAGTGTGTTCACAAAATTCCTCTTTAGATTCTTGACGCTGGTGCAGGCAACGCCTGCTTCTTCGTTTCGCCTCGAACGACAGAACAGTGGGAGACATCGCTCTACAATAAGTTTTTGTTATCCTGCAAGGGCTGTAGAGAGTTCACAAAGTTGAGGTCATTCTTGACACCGGAGTAGGTAAAATAATCGTTCTTTGATTCACTCAAAACGACAAAAACGTAGGACGCAGTCCCATACTATTTCGTTAGGCTGTCCCGTGGAGATCATAAAATGGCGTGCGACATTCTGTACTTAAAAACATTTGATGAGGAAAAGTGACTAGGATACACAATCGAACAACTTTTCTCGTAGGGCAGTTAGATTCCTTTTATTTTGATCCAGACTACCTTTCGCTTCTCATTGTCCCTTTTGGGTGTCTAAGAAATCCTCTGTAGCCTTTCGCAGTAACTACCGCTTCAATGGGGCCCAATGGCAGCGAAGAGCACTTCGTAATCCCCGAATTCCCACCAACCCACGTAGTAATTTAAATATTGATTAATAAATTGATTTCGTGATCTGGGTTACGTCGGTTAGTCTGAGCGACACCACGTCAAAGGTTGGGGTGCCGATCATATCATCGCCATCATATTGTCATTTTCTTCACGAATCCAGACCGCGACATGACGGTTGAAACGTCGTCACCGCAGCCATCTATGAGGCGTAACCAGGGCCGGATTTAAGTAGTGCGGGACCCCAAGCACAAAATTGTGTTGGGCCCTCCTCCCCCGAAAAAATAACTCCATATTTATTAAATAAAAAATGAAATATAGTACAAGTACTTTATGTACAGATACAAATGAAAACTGATAATTTTTTATAGAAATGTTTACTTGTGTTACATTTTTTACATTAAATACAAATATTTTTGGATAAATAAGACGTGTTTCCTGATCCGCAATCGCTGCTCGATATGATGTTTTAGAAAAGGCTACAAATTTGCTATTAACTCCAGCAATCCAAGATAGTTGCCATTATCTGGTGAACCAAATGTTTCAGTACTGCTACGAAAAGCTAAACCTCTCACCGATAATGTACAAATAACGGCTATTACTCTAAGCAAAACTTGTCTCCAGTAATTTTTTTCTGATTCAATCTGTGAAAAAAGGTGAGAATCAAAGTTTGCTTTTCGATGTGGATGTAAAAAAATGTACATTTTGTTGCACAGTAGACTACTTAATTAACAATTATTTCACAGACAAAAAAATATGGTATGCGAAACGCGGGGCCCCTGGTGAATGGGGCCCCCCAAGAAACTGCTTGTTTTGCATGTAGGTAAATCCGGCCCTAGGCGTAACCCATGCGGCCCAAATCATGACTAATCGCGTAAGCTTACGAAATAATTGATTTAATGTTTTCGGAACCGTCAACGGCTGTTAATAGGCCCATAAGTATGCGACATGTTTTATCATGGGGAATGGCGGTTTCTTTCCCAAACGGATAGCGAGTTCCGGTGATGATGTACACGTCGTCTTGTGGAGTTTTTCCGAACCAGATATCTCCCACTAGCGGGACAGCGTTTCAGACGGCACACACTGTAAGCTTCCGACTAGTCTACCGACATGTGTGGTTGTCTAGTGAATGTATGTGTAAGTGCGAGTACATTAAAGGTAAGAATAAGTTAAGGAAAAAGGAGAGATAGCGTGCTATTCGTGGCTGTTTGTTTGAGTCCTGTTTTGGAATTAATTTGTTGTTGATTTGTCTAATCATGGACAACTACCAGTCAGAGCAACCGGTGGCTAGAAGTAATTGCAGACAGCTCTTGAATTTGTCCTGTCTCGAAAATCCTGCTATCATTGGAACTCGAACCGTAGGGCATCTCTGTCAAACGCACTGCACAGACTTAAGTTGAAATCTTGAATTTCCTCGGCCGGTAATAATAATTTAAATTAAATTGATATAATTAATATAATTAAAATTGTCTACAAAAATCTCTCTGTTGACTCTCCTTACACTTCTGAAAGGAAAATTGGGCTTGCGGAAAAGCGGAAAAAATCTCAAAATTAATTATTTTTGGATAATTGCAAAAAATTCAAAATGTTTTCGGCGTCTTCCTACAATTTCAATTATCAATACCATTTTTTCTCAATGAAATGTGTGAGATATATGAATATTTACAATGCCGGTGCAAATGACCTTTTGAATTTGGAGAGGCGCTAAGGCCACGTTGTGAACACCAGACGGGGCGGACCGATTCGATGTTGGAAACATGGAGAAATTGGGCGACTGGGAGATAGGTACCCGAGAGGAGAGTGGTTAGGACACAGAATGCTGCGTGTCGTGTTAGTGTTTTGCACAGTTAATTGCGTGAGTGCAAGGTGATACAAAAGGAGTTGGCGCTGGACGTCGCGTGTCCTTTCATCTCAAGAGGAACTTGACTGCGACGGATGGTGTGGCCGGCCACACGGAGAAGGTGGATGTCTGCCCAGCAAAAAGATAACTGGGAAAGTTTGAAAGAAGTGCCTTGATACACAAATATTGAAATATAGACTTTAGGGCGGGCGAGTGTTTAAAAATTTTAATGACAATGTTAACGAAATGAGGAAAATGTTGGTGCTCACGTATTAATCTGGGCAAAACAATCATTTTTCCTTTCATCATTTTCTTTTGGATTTCACTTGACGATTAAAGGTATACTTTGTAGTATTTTCATGCCATGTTCTTATTTAAATGTGTTTTAACAGAATATATTATTTTTTGTATGAATGCAATGCCATTTGTGTATGATTTTATTTCATGATTGTATCTGGAAGCAACTCACTGGTATTCCCACAACGGAGGGTAAGAAAGGAGGCGTAAATAGTTGCAGATTAGGCTGGAGATTAGTAAGCAGGGAAAGTAAAGTAGGTCGTGTCGAGTGCGTGGGTGAAGGTTAGTCTTACTACATTTGTAAAATCAACTAGAATCCCTGAGCTCGAAGGACCCGATACGTCCCGCGATTCGCCGTTCGGACGCGACTCGCCGGCTTGATCTCTGTATAAACATAATTAACGTCGCAACGATCTCATTTCCAGTGAATATCCGTTCTATTTTGTGTGTACTGTCACAAATGTTCATCAGAAAAGATCTTCAAATAAAGTCATGTGCAATTTTTGGTAGCTATGAGTATTTTTTGAATTAAACATCGGCAATTTTTAAATTTTAAATACTCGTTTTCACAGAGAAAACTACAATTTTTTCTTCGTATATAGCAAAGAACTATAAACATAGCGGTGATGATCCCATGTTCGGCGCACTTTCTGTATTTTCGAAAAAGATCCGAATTTCTGTATTTTCGAAAATATTTCAAAAAAGATTGGCAACACCGTGCTTTCAATATCCTTCGAATTCATCCCATTCTTGTCAGTCGTGATTGTAGATAATACCCTTATGAAAGAAAATAGATTGAAGACAGGTAATAAATTGAACTTAGAATTAACTAACACTCTTTAATTTAAAAGTTTTGAATGCTGATTGTGGTATTCAAAACTTCAATGCTATTTTTAGGACTGCGCAACGTCCTTCCGCAGGCACCCTGCTCTCAAGAGCCGGCCGAGCCGGCTCGCGAGAGCGGCGAAAATGCACGTAGTGGGAGATAGACAGTTTCGGGCGGAGGGAAGCAGCCTACTATTAGTGCAGTGAGGACGACGCGTCACGTAGATTCAAGGTCTGGGCATTTAATACAATGATTCATTCTGCGAAAACCCACTTATTTAAAAGGGTAGTGAAATGACTACTGTTTGAAGCTACAATGGTCATAATTTACTGTTTATGTTCTGTGCTCTGCTATGTATTGACTTATTTTCCTTTTTTGATTTTTTGTTTCATGCTCTTTGTGACTCTAAAACAATACATTAATGTAGTGACCTTTTTATAAATTTGTTTCATTCTAACAAAAAATTAAAATTTAATAATTTATATTTTGCAGGGGATTTATTAATCTCCAAATGAAAGGAAAAGCAGAAAAAGGTACCAAAGAATAAACTTCTATAACGATGTCCGAGAAATCATGAGATTCTTAAATCAATAAGATTTAATAAGATACTTAAATACAATTCAAAGGGCTTAATCTTTTTATACGGAGTTGAATATTTAGAAATAAATAGTGTTCGTTGATGTGATATAAGAAATATACAAAGTTCTCTTGTCGGAAATTAGAGCAAAAAGTGATCATGATTCTTTATAAATAAGATTTTTTAGCACCACGCTGATTTTGTGAAACATCGTAGCAAAGCAAATTACGTTATCAGGTCTAAAGATAATTTTAGGCCTGATAATTAAATATGTGTATATCTAATTAGTTTTAGGTTCGTATTTCACATTGTTATCTATCGACAACAAACAATCTCAATATAATACAAAAGACAAATTTACTCATATCATACTATATCTAACAGTCCGTCATTCTCGCCGATTGATATTTCAATTTACGCGCTACGGTTCGAATTATACATTCTCATTGGTGATCTTCGCTCCTTGATTAAGTCTTTTCCTCGCCCTTCCGCATTTGCCCTCGAGTGGTTCGCACGTGGCTCCCGAGGACAGTGAAAGTGCAAAATGCTGTGCTGTCCTGGCTTATGTAATCAAAGAAGGCTTGTGTGACGCTTTCTATATTATATGCTGCAATAAATATTTATTGGAGGAGAATTATTTGGCCATTCATGAGACGAGCAGTTTCTTGAATAAACTATTGCAGTTAATAATAATATAATTAATATTTCTACAAAGCGACGTTTCAAATCTCAATTTTCCCCATCATTAGGCTAAAGCCAACACGGTTTTTAAAATACTATATGTACTATACACATAAGAGAGTACATAGCACAGAAAGATCTGAAACTCACCTTAATATATAGCACTTATGCCAAGGTTGTCTCCGGTAAACTTTCTCAAAAACTCCCGAGCCTCTTCATGTGGAATTTTAATTACAGACAAGGGCTCTTAATATTCCTTTTTATTCTTTGCCATCTCAGTGATTTGGTTAATTGTTCGTATTTTGCGAATATATTATATTGTGTGTAGTGCTAAAAAATGGGCGAAGTGATGTTTATCATTACATACTAGTGCAGAGTGCAGTCAGTAAATCTGAGTACCTGTATGCGAGGTGGAAACACATCCAACATGGAGGGCACGCGCGCTGAAAGTTATGATTGATGCGGATGTAGTAGGTGATGAGAGAAACAAAGTGACTTATAAAAGTTGAAAGAATAAGAGTTTTAAAAGAATATTCTTGCGATGTCATATTTTGCTTGTGTTAAAACGCACGGAACCTAAAACTTTAAAGTCATAGGGGTATTTCTTTATACCTATGAACTAGAAAACTATACTTCATGAATTATCTACGGTCAATGGATCACGTACCCATAGCTTAAATCGACAACCTTCGTATGTAAGAGAGTCACGCATAGTCACTGATCGTGCCCAATACATTAATAACAGTACATGCGTGGCTCCTTCAGAATCGAAGTATTGCTAAAGCGGCAGGCGCTGTTGTCGAGCTGCCAATCACGTGATTTAATCCAGAGGCTGACTCTTTCAGTCCCACTGTTGCCATACCAAGTTCATTCCCACCCAAAACCCTGGGTGGTGGGACGCGAGTTTAACTGTTATCATTAAATTGTTTGTTAAAATTATTGTGCAGGTGTTTATTTATTTTCAAACCAAAGAGTAATTTCGCAATAATTGCAAAAACTAAATGCATTACTTTTTAGATAACAGTGCCATCTATCGCAAATCACAAAAACATATTTGAGGCAAAATGTATGTATTTGTTAGTGTAGAATTCCAATATGAAATAAAAATAAGGGATTCCACTTAAAATGTCAAAGTTGTCCACCGCCCAATCCCCAGGGATTGGGGGCGATTTTTCATTTAATTTTAGGTGTGGCAGCTCTTACCTTGGAAATATTCATCTTTTCTCTGATATTTTTTGACAAGTTGAATGGGACGCCTGTATATTAAAGCTGCAAAGAGAACGATTTCGTTGTCGCGCCTAGAGCAGATGAGATTCGCCTGTTTTGAAAGAGCTTATGTACGGTGACGAACGTAAGATATGTCCAAGCAAAAATAGATTCGATCGTGTACTAATACTCTTTTACAGGTATGGAACTTACTGAAAGGGGATGCCAATGAAGCTATCTATCAAAATGAATTCCTCCCAAAGCTGCTCATATATTGCGAGCAGACAGAGTCCGGCCACCTTGACAGTTCAATCAAGCGCGAAATCAAGACCTTGTTGGGCGACCCCCTCCTGCAGCTCGACCTGCTCACCTTCCACTTCCTGGACTTCCTCAAGGAGTGGATGCGGGACGACGCGAAGGACTTCTGCCTGACGGAGGACTCGGCCGAGGTGGAGTGGTACCTGGCGGAGCACCTGCGGGGACTGGCGCGGAAGGCGTGTGCCCTGGAGCTCCTGCAGTTTCAGGACTCGCACTGGGGACCCCTGCGGGAAGCTCTGCAAAGGGAAGGCGCCCTAGCCCTGCAGGTACGTTATCATCTAAGTGTGAGAAAGCCAAACATTTATCTCTTTGGATCTTGTTCTCTTTTACCCGAACGCCCAGACGCACCGAGAGGCGAAGTGCGTGGCTGTGGATTTTGCCCGCTTTTTGACCTCGCGGATGAAAGCGGGGGGATGTGTGTGCAGGTGGCGGGCGTAGCCGCGGGCGCGCGGGCCGCCAAGCTGCTGGGCCTCCTGGACGCCGAGCACCAGGGCGCGTGGGTGTACGTGAACGGCCACGTCCTCAGCCAGTGCGACGCCAAGGCGCTCAAGGCCGTTTGCTGTGCCCGCCACTGCCGGGTAGACTCATAATAAAATAGCGTTTTTTATTAATATGTACTGCATGGGAAATTATGACACTTGATTACGCATCTTGTGTTGTATGGTACACATTGTTTTTAATCCATATGTCTTTGAAAGCAAACCTTTTACAACAAAAATCTTCATGAATTGATATGTGTTTCTGCAACAATTTTTACACCACTTGGTGTAAAAAACACACTGTGTTACACCACCATTTTACACGTCTTGTACTTAAAAACTGACATTAAAATATTCGCACTTGAAGTAACTAATTATCTGACTTGAAGAAAACGACCATTTGACTTTAAGTACATTTTGTCTTCAGATGCCTCATTCCAAACATATGTGTAAACAATCTCATATAAGTGGTCTCCTTACTATTGAGCGTTCCATCCGTCTCTTTCTGAATTCAAGTTTAGGTAATAATTTTTGAAAATTTTGCATTTATGATATTGACGTTGCACAGTATTTCTGTTACCCGAATGGCGATAGGTTCAAATATTTATAAGATACATTTTTAACTATTTTAACTAATTTATAAAATTTAGCTGCCAAAACAACTGTAGTGGCGGGAACAATAACAACAATATGGAAACAAAAATTAGACAAGCAAAATCTTGTCTGGCTGGAACCAATTTGCAGCCGCAGTGCCGCTCACGCAGGGCAGCCTTCCGACGCAAGTCTCGCGCCACTGATATAACGTAGGAGGTGCGCACGCATGAAAAATGGTCTTCAAGCCGACCGACGGCTCCGTTTACAGACACGATTGCAAACCCCACCATGGGAGATTAAAACGCTGCTCAAAAAGTGCTCTTTGGGGAAATAATTCACAATTTATACAGTTAAAGTGCGAGCATGATTCAGAATCATTAGGAGAAAAACGGTAAATGCAACAAAATACAACTCGTCCCGACAGAACCCACCGAGATGTTGATGTATATCTATTTATGTCACCTAATAGACGTTGTCGCTCTCTTCCTGCCAGGTACTCGTAGTGGATGTTGATCATAATTCCAAGAAGCTGAACGATTTGCTGCCGTCAGTTGCCACCGCTGTGAAAATCGTCAGCCTCGGGAAAGTGAATTTGGGACGTGTTGCAGTCACGAGGCACCAAGAAGAGTTGAAGTTTTCTCAGTTGACTTCAGATGCCCGGGATGGACTTCTTGAAAGCACCGTCTATTTTCAAGTACGTTGTTAATATCAGTATTACAAAACAATATTCTGTCAGCATGAAAAATATATTCGCAAAGACTTATTAATTTTGTAGGGGAAAATAATATTTCCTCTAGAATTATTCTAAATATTTTCAACAATCATTTTGTCAAAAACACATTATTACGATTTCTTGCAACGGTATTCCTGATACTTCTAAATCATATTAAAAAACCAATAGTTCAGTTTTTTTATTAAACATAGGTTAAACAAGCACGACATGAAATGTGTTTACATTTTGTAATTTTAAGGCAATATTTATTACAACGTAAATTACCTTTTAATATCGATTTCAAATTTTTGAATGTAATTTTTGTTACAACTACACATCTATTACGGTATTAGATTAAAAACCAAATTTTCTGTTTTATACATGATAATCTAAACAAGCTTTTTAATATTTATCTTTCCTGTAAGTAAATACTGATACAACAATATTAGTTAGTTCAAAAAAAGATTTGCCGAAAATTAAGAATAGCCTTGCAAGAATTCTGCAAAAATTTCTCATCAAAATTAACGTAAAGAAGTCTAAATTTATGATATTTGGGAAAGAGAAACTCTGAAAATCAAATAATATAATTTTAGATACACCAGAAATATAATTCGTACACAATTTGTGCCATTTACGCTGCACTTTCATCGAAGACAATAAAAGCACAGCAGAAGTAACAAAGCGAATTTCAATAGCAAAGAAGTATTTCCTGAATAAAATAAATTAGCCACAAATACCAACCTAAATTTGGATATTAGAAGGAAATTACTGAAAAATTATATCTTGAATGTCCTATTATTGAGGTTAGTTTAAAGTATGGGTCTTTTACAAACGGATAGAACTCGTTTAGAAGTTTGTGAGATGTGGGTGTGGCGAAAAATACTTAAGGTTTCCTAGACTGAAAAAATTCATATAATGAAATTTTATAAAGAGGAGAATAGATCCCTACTAAAAAACATTTTCAAACATAGCCAACTCTTAAGCACAAATTCGGACAGTACAATACAGTAAAAAGTAGGGGGAGCCAGAATGAAATTTTTATACTTCAAACCGAATAACACTTAAAAAACTATGCACAGTTGAAGAAGTTAGTGAAATTCAGAACGTCATGGTGGCAGTGTCAACGCACTTTTTTCCTTGAGGATGATGATGATTCTTGGATGTAATAGAATCGTTTATTTGAAATTACAAATCACAAATTTAAAAAAATACAAAGTAAATTAGCACTTGACATAAAAATGAAGATTGAACTCCTCATAGGAAGGGTTGGTGAGTCTAGAACTCATATTACGGCAGTTCAACGTTCCCCAGAATATGAAAGTCACACGACGAATATCGCTTTTCATCATGACCTAACAGCAGTGGCAACTGTTCCCAAGACATCGTAATTCTTCTTCAAAATCTCAGGACAGAACAGTGTATGTATGTTATATGAAGTATTCTATGTTCTGAGTGTTATTGCTTTCAGAGTGCATGTATAACAAAGAAATGTCTTATTGTCAAAATTAATAAATTTAAATTGGGGGAAATAAAATTAAAATGTGATGGAATTATCGATAAATAATCTGTCATTCTCAAGTACGGTAATGAAGATGACGCAGCACAATTGGGCTTTATAGGACCGACAATTGGGCATTTAGGACTTTTTGATGTCAATGCATCGTGATGAAATATCAAGAAATACTAGATTTCTTTTTCGAAAACAATAATGTTACCAATGAAAGGAAAAAAACACGCTACGTTATGACCTCAGTTTTGTGCATAAGCATATGACATTTTATGATCCTTATTGGCGCCTCAAACCCCCAAAAAATTTACCTACTCTGAAATTGGGGCAAAATTTCAAATAAATTTCAACACTTTGCGCAATAAAATAGTCGCAAGATTTAAGTTTAATAAAAGGGTTCAATAAAAAGTGGAATTTATAGCAGAATTTGGAGTTGTTGGAGCTAGGACAGAGCCTTGAAGTACACCTGATAAGATAGGAGCGAGGGCAGAAAGTGCGTCTGTTAAACGTATGAAGAAGGACCTATTCGTGTGGAAGCTTTTAATTAGGAGTATAAGATACTGTGGGTTGCCGAGTTTTAGTAGTTTCAATAATAAGCCAGGGTACCAAACTGTGTCGAAGGCTTTTTTGATATCCAGGAAGACACCTGTGGTATGCTAATATTAGTGAAACCCTTCAAGAATGTCTTCGGTAAGTCTAAGAATCGGATGGTTTGTTGAGACAAGGGATTGGAACCAAATTAATGATGAGGAATGGCTCAATTCGTTGATTTAAGCTTTTAGGCGAGAAAAAGTGTTTTTTCTCGGATTTGGATGGATGGAAGGCGGCTTATGGGTCTATAACTGGATGGAGAAGAGGGGCTTTTACCGAGCTTTAGGATGGGTATAACATGTGCAAATTTCCAGGATGTAGGGAGGTAAGCTATTGTTAGAAAGGAGTTGAAGATATGGGTGATGTGTTCAGTGGCACTGAAAGAAAGTTTTTTAAAGATAAAAGTGTTGAGTTTTTCTGGGCCGAAGGATGTTTTGAGTGCTTTTTTGCAAGGATATAAGCAAACCTAAAATGGCGAGATGAATTTAATGCGATGAGGAACGGTGATTTGTGTGTTGTTTACTCTACTAATTAGATCATCTGGGGATAGCAAGACAGAAAAGATTCGGTGGGATGGTTGTGAGGGGTAAATAAGGGTGAAGGTGGATGTTGGCGGATTACATTAGTATATGTTCTAGTTTTTTGCCTTGGGGTTTCAAGGCTTTGGCTGCGATGATGGGAGATTGATTTTTGGAGGGGCGATGTGCTGAGAAGACGTTTGCGAGTTGGAAAAGGTTTAGGGAAAAGGTGTGGAGGGGATTCGTTTGTGTGGAGTGTTGGTACCTTTCCTATGAAGAAGATTGTGGTACAAGGTACACTCACGACTACTGACTGCATGCGGTTTTTCACAGTTTTCACACATTATGTTGTCTTTGGTGCGGTCTTTAGTGACATGGTTTTTGGAGCAGCGTTCACACTTCACAGAAAGACCACAGTTTTTCTTGGTATGGACGAAGTCTTGACATCCTCGACACTGAACAGGTCCAGGGCGGCGTCATCTTTCTTCTACTGTGATAATGGCTTGAAATAGTTCAGTCTGGTAATATATGTTGGGGGAATTATTGTTATTTTCCAGGGTGACTGCACATAAGGGCCAGTGTCTTTTGTAACAGCCGGAGAGGATCGGTAGGTTTGTTTTGATGAGTTCCTCTTCAATTTCTTTCTCACTGTAATATATTGGTACATTTCGTAGTACTTCGGACATCATTGTTTTCCTGGATTTTGGTAGATATGATTGTTCAAATTGTTTTCTTGTTGATTCTGTCTTGAGGTTCTGTAATCTTCTAATGCTGTTAACAATTACTTGATGTTTTTGCTTGATTTGGGGTTTATAACTGGTTATGATTTAGTTTGTGATGGATTGTTTTGATGTGGTTGGATGATTTTGGGCATCGTGGATGTACATGGGGGGTATTTTGATTTTTGTTGGGTCTTGACGAGGCGAGATTTGGAGGTGTATGTTGGGTGTTTAGGGTTTCCAAACGGTTACTTAAAGGGATGTTGTACATTGTGGGTGAATAGAGGGTAAGATTTGGAAGGGCTACGGAATGACCTAGGCGGACGCTTGTTAGGATTTTGCTCTTGCGTACTTATCAGTTCGGGGTTGTTGACGTGTTCATAACTGTTCCAGGTTCGATATATGGCTGCTGATAATGCTTTTGAAGTAGATGTGTGAGAAGATTTTTATGAAATTGGTAAAGATCTCTAAGCGCACTTGGCACTGCTTTTAACAATGTTCTAAAATGTCTGAGGATTTTGCCATGGCGCAATTCAACAATTCCGAATATGGAGTTCGCACTTCTTCTAACGCCAAGTTCGGCCATGAATTTGACACCAACTTTAAACACTGACACAACACTCGAGTGGATTTCCCGCGATGAGGCGGTAGCGGACATAAGCCGCGCCCTGCGACCGGTTGTCGTCCGTCCGCTGGGGTGTGGCGCTGATATCTCGGCTGCTTGCGATAACGACGAGCAGAGCACGAGAGAGAACCTTCCCCTACTGAAGCTCGGAATGGAACAACGAGAGCCGTTGAAAGCGTACTTTCGAACAGATTCCCCGACCCGGGAGGTCTCGGAATGTCAGGCCCGTGTGCAAAGCTGCGTCGTGGCGCGCGGTGGGGTGCGGCGAAAATTCTGCTGAGTCACCGTCTTCTGCAAAGCGCGCCTGTTCGAAACAATAACTTCCTTTCATGTCTGCAGGCTGTCAGCGCTCGCCGGGGTGCGACAATGGGAATTCTGTACCTTCTTAGAGCCACATGTTATCTTGCGAACTCATAATATTATTTTAATTAATTTTTTTATCACACACGTCGCCCTGACGCGTGCGACGTGCCCATTACATTATTGAAGGGTATTAACTGTCCCAGATCTACATATTCTTCCACATATTCAATTTGTTTTGTACCTTCAGAAATTTTATCTTTAATACTATTTGTCATGAGCTTTGGTTTTCTGAGATTTATTTGTAGACCTACTTCCTTGCTAAGAGTCAGAAGTTGAGAGAACATTTTTTCCAGTCTCTGCCGAAAAAATTATCCGATACGAGATGGAGTGCATGGGTACAAGCTACTTCAGCTCTTCTTAAAGGATGCAGTGTTATCATGGATGTTTTGGACCAAATAATCGCTGATTCGGTCTGCCAAAATGATATCAGAAAACAAGCTAGAAGACTCTTGCAAACTATGGCGAAATTAGAGACACAGATTATGATTGTTCGGTGGGATCAAATTTTGGCGAGATTTCAGTCAACTAGCGTTTAGTTACAATCGCCGCATCAAGATTTTAATTGTGCGTGTGCGTTGTGCGAATCCCTCTATGGATACATTGAAACAATCAGACCGAACTTTACATCTGTTGAAGACAAGGCAAAAGCAGTAATGTCTTACGATCATTACAGTCATGAACATTCACGACGAAAAAGAAACCAAAGAATAGATAGTATGCATATATTTAAAACACATGACGACGGAAAATCAATGGGATCATCTGAAAAATTCAAAGTTGAAAGTTTTTGGGTATTATTGTCAGTTTGCTTGCTGCCTTATCCCGGAGAAAAAAAGATATAACAAATTAAGGGATTTGTTTGGCATATTTCGTCACCTTGAAGAATATACGTCAGAAGAAATCAAAGAGGGTTCGTTAAAACTGATCAAAGTATGTCCTGACAATTTGGAAAGTGAACTAATTTAAGAGTTTATTTAATTCAGTGAATGTTTGAAAACAGAGTTTGCTAAACCTCCCTCGTAAAATAAGGAAGATCTTCATGAATTAAAATTGTGCAAAAAAATTGTCTTTTATCTAATTTTCCCTATATTGGCATTATTTTGAGAATTTACCTCTCTTTGATAATAACAAACTGTAGTGGCGAAAATTCTTTTTTTTGAAATTGTAGTGTATTAAGATTGAAATAAGAGCCAGAATGGGCCAAACACGTTTGATGAATGTTTCTTTGATGAGTATCGAACACGAACTCCAAACAACGAGAATAATCGACGAGTTTTCTACTGAAAAATTGCGTAAACGTTTGATTAGGTAAACAAAGTTGAATCAAAATTGAAAATTAATCACGTTATTTTATTAAATGTTAATGATTTATTATTTTGAAAACATTATTTATTTATTTATTTCAATTTTTATTGCAGTAATTGAACATTTGGTACCAATGAGAAGAATTTGACTTGCTTTCTTTTATATCTGTTATATATCTTCAGATATCACACCCAATAATAGATTACTAGTGATGTGACGTCGCCGATGCTGTAAACTCTTTTAAAAATAGTTTCATGTGTTCTAAATTTCTTTCAACTTCATTTCTTTCATACCGAACTTTAATTAAATATCTGGCAATGAATCGTAGTACCTGATGTTATACTCCCGTTCAAAAGTTCCCAACACCCAATGACCTTGTGTGTTACCACCATACGGGATATGAGTAGGTGTTACTTCAATTTCAAAATGATAATCGTCGTAACAAATACTTGCAAGTTTTGATGCTAATAGTTAAATTTATTAAGATAGTTAATAATTAAAGTTATGTAAGAACGTGAACGTGCGTAGTTGAATATTACGTTAATTCATTCTCTAGCATTACTCACAGTTTTGTTTTCTCCATATTCACTTGAAATTCTTCAAGTTCAATATGTTCCGAGACAATATTGTTCGTAGGAATTCGTAAATTATTTTTTAATACTATAATAATTTGACTCTAAATTGAAATTAAACTGCAGCGAGATTTACTTGGTAATTCAATCGTTTAAAGATATCAACACCAATGTTGCCAATGCCGTGAAAGAAAATTATGACGTATTAAGCAAAAACATGCCTTTGGGTTCTGGTATTTAATCAACGCCACTTACATAGATATATTTTTATGGGACGTTGGTTCAATTTTTGGCATTATCACTAACATCGCAGCGCCAAAACACGAAAAAACATGTTTTTGGAAATTGCTTTAAATCTTTTTTTGTTGTTATTTAAGGGTGCATCAACTTCGAGGTCATTAGCGACTACTATTGCTTGTAACGGTATGGTAACTATGAGGATGATTGGATGTGATGATGATAGGGGGTGAAAGGACGAACAAAATACAACCGTGCCTGAGGCGGGACTCGAACCCGCGATCCTTAGGGTCGAGATCACTTTAAACACGGCTTTCAAATTTGAAAAATTTTGCGTGGATGCAAGCTGAGGATGCTCCGTTGGCGCAGGGTCAGGCCGTGAGGCTGCGCGAGCTGGAGGGGGCGTGGCCTGGCCTGCGGGAGGAGGCGGACAGTTCGCTTCTGGCAATCCCTAGAAAGAATCCGTAATTAAAAGACAAATTACTCGTACTCATAGTTCCCGTTATAAGGGTTAGCAAGGACATATATATCTTATGCTCTCTGAGGCTGCAAAGCGAGCAGGTGCGGTAGGGAGCGTGGCGTTCCGCAGGGCCAGGCCGTGAGGCTGCGCGAGCTGGAGGGGGCGTGGCCAGGCCTGCGGGAGGAGGCGGACGGCGCGCTGCTGGGCGCTGTGGCGCTGGGCGAGGCGGCGCTGGGTGATCCTATACCGTCCATGGGCGGAGAGGAGGAAGAGGAGAACGACGAGGAGGAGCGCCTGTTCATCATGCGCTCCCTACGCCACTTCAGCGAACTAGACCCTGATGTGCTGCGCATCGCCCCCTCTCAAGATCACCTTGTGTTCGTGGGCGTGCCGCAAAATATCCTGGAGGCCCGGCGTCGCCAATACGGGTGGTCCGTAGAGGAAATGAACGACAGGTGAGTCCACGTCCTTGGAATATACTTTTATTCGTTTGACTATTGCAAATTATTACAAAGACAAACCGGAAGTAATAAATTATTAACAAACACCTTTATGACCTTTATATCCCGAGGGCGATATTTAATCCTGTAAAGTCCTGCCACTTGTGTGGAAGTTGCAAAGTGTCAAGAATCGTAAGAAGCGTACTGTTTAATATTTCCTTTCTGAACATACATTGCATGTATTACCTTCTCTCTAAAAAACACACTACACATAAGCGACTGGGAGCTCGCTAAGCTATGTATTAGCTTTGGAGTATTACTTTTTGATTTACATTATTTTTATAGGATCCTTCAGTTAATCCATACAACGTTTGGGGGATACTTTGAAAGTTTCAAAATAAAGTGATGATCGAATTTTTTGGTTTTAGAATATGAGCCACGATGATAGAATAGTTAGCATTATTTATTACTTTTGCAATATTTGAAAAACAAAAGTTTCTCTTGCTTCTCCCCACAGCATTTTCCGCTGCTTGAAGTAGATTTGTGTTTTATTTGATTCATCCTTCTTCTATGCTTTCTTCTCATTCAATAGATTTTTAGTTTATCTTCTCTTCTACCTTTTGGCAAAACTAGTAAACATATTCTTTAGCTCACGCCTATGTCATCTTTCGATACACTGTTTTGACTTCAATTCGTCTTATCAGCTTGGGAGGTGTTAAGACCAGCCACACGGCTTGCCGCATACCTAAGGAGAGTAGTTGGGAGATTCTGGAAACCTTAGGATGGAAGGAAGGTTGACAAAATGCCAAATTCTAAACTCATAAGTGACTGGGTGAAGCAGGCGATGTACGCTCTCCCTAAAATAATTCTTTTACACTTTGCCTCGTTACAGTTAATTAGAACGCAGAATGTGACGTGGGATGCAATACAGAAGTCTGGATTCATTTATTCTAAACTTTTTTGGCTTCTGTTAGTGCTCTGGCTTCTATTAACGGTTGATTTTGCCTAGAACCATTCGTTTGCTTAACATACGTTTTCATAGTGGTTGTGTGAATGTCGCAGGTGGACTTCGCTGGAAAGCGATTCTCCTGGGAAGATGGAAAAAGCGTTTGACTCCGTGTGCTCCAAGCTCAGCCCAAGGAATGTCCACTGGCTGGAGTGCTTTGGCCAACACGACGGCAACGTAAACGTAAACGAGACTGCACTGGTAGGGATGAGAGAGATATGCTGGTTTTTGCGATATATCTCTGAAGGTATTAAAATATTCCTAATGTGATTAAATGGTCGTTGGTATACTGGTCTAATCTTTCAGTGTTTTCGGAATTAATTCAAAGAGAAAAACAATAAACACAAGGTATTAGTTATAATTTTATTTCTTTAATTACAAGTAAACTGCATACACCGACGTAAACGTATGCAGTAAATTGCATATACGGACGAAATCTTCAGACTTACTTAAAGAATCACGCAGTTGAGCTTATTGTATTCAAACATTGCTCAAGAAATGATGTGAAATAAAAATAATCTCATCACCGTGGGAAAATGACTTTCAAAGAGGGTAAATGTCGTATATACATCCACGGCTTGATACATGAAATTCACATACTAATATTATAGGAATATATACATGCTACCGAACGAAGTAAATTTCAAATTTTGTCTGTTTGGTGAAAATATAAAGTTTAATAGCAGGATTCAAAAAGTACAAGATTTAGTGCTGGAAGCACATTTCACCAGAGAGTATATATCAGAGACGGCACTCAATGTTAAACGGAAAGCCCTTATTTTCGTGGAGGGGAGAAATTCGAATCTCCCACCCCAACAGAAACAACAAATGAGAAAGAGGCAGACATATTCGCCCACCGCCAGCCAATAAGCGTCGAAAGGCAGTAAACCAATTGAAATGGAGGACGGACGTGAACCGGGCTATTTGAAATTACATTATTTAGTAAATTTTCAATATGGTGGACATGGTTATGTACTAAATAAAATGCATTGACATAAAAATGAATGCCCAAGGTAATGTAGAAGTCAGTAATTCTTAAAGGATATGTAATTGTGAGGAAGTGAAGTAAATTGTAATGATAGGAAATCAACAAAGATGAGCCACGTCCGCACAGTAGTCCCCACTTGTACCAGAAGTCGTCCAATAATGAAAGTGCTGCCCCGCTTCGTATTTGGTCAGTACTCAGTCGCACTCCAACTGGGCACCGTCTGCCCCAGCGTCTGGGCATACCCAGACGGCGGAGTATCCTCGGAAGTGCAGCCTGGGCGGAGTGGGGGTTAAGCAAGCCCACTGTTTATGTTCAACCGCTCGCACTTGCACTGCCCTGGCCGCGATTAGAGAGGCGCCACCCTTCGATCTGTCCTCAAGTGCCGGTCTCTCGACTTCCCGATGACGTAGCCAGCGGTGGGCGCGGGCGCATTAAAGTTTGTGTTCAGCTGACTTTGGTCTTTATCAATATATTCATAAACCGTCTTTGCTAAATGTTGGTGACAAGGATAGAAGCTGAAACCGTTTCTTATGGTTCATTACTAATACACGTATAATAATAATATTAATAATAATATTAATAATAATTCTTATTATTATTACTATTATTTTAAGTGTCTAACCTAATTACCTAAAGTATCATACTTGCATTGTATTTTCGAAGAACCAAAAAAAGATTTCTGAGCACATTTTGAAATATAAATCGTGTATTAAAATACATTTTAAAATTTTATATTGTGACAAATATGGAATTACTTGTATCGAATTTGTTGTTAATACTATGTCATATTAAGTTCATCTAGATATTTACTCATTTATTGTTGTTAAGTAGTGTTTAACGACCCTCAACAAGACTAAAACTACAATTGTGTGAAATATTCCTCCAGTAGATCAAGCCTTTATAAATCCTGACATGAATAATGTTTTTACCTAACAAACAAAACTGAAAAATTAGTAGCGGGACCAATTTGTAGATAAACCTCTTTGCAAGCGCCCTCTGCAGAAGCTGATTAAGCGGCGCCCCAATGTAGATGAACCTCTTTGCCGCCGCCTTGTGCAGACGCTGGCGTGACGGCGCTCGCTGTAGATGCAACCGCCATTTTGCAGACGCTGGCGTGGTGGCGCTCGCTGTAGATGCAACCGCCATTTTGCATGCGCTGGTGTGGCGGCGCCGCTGTAGATGCGACCGCCCTTTTGCAGACGCTGGCGTGGCGGCGCTCGCTGTAGATGCAGCCGCCATTTTGCATGCGCTGGTGTGGCGGCGCCTCTGTAGATGCAACCGCCATTTTGCAGACGCTGGTGTGGCGGCGCCGCTGTAGATGCGACCGCCATTTTGCAGGCGATGGCGTGGCGGCGCCACTGTAGATGGAACCGCCATTTTGCAGACGCTGGCGTGGCGGCGCTCGCTGTAGATGCAACCGCCAGTTTGCAGGCGCTGGCGTGTCTGCACTCGCTGTAGATGCAGCCGCCATTTTGCATGCACTGCTGTGGCGGCGCCTCTGTAGATGCAACGATTTATGCAGACGCTAGTACATTGTGTGGTGTGGCGGCGCCGGCTGTTAGCGCGACCGCCATTTTGCAGGGCGAATGCGCGTGGCGGCGCCGCTGTAAGATGGAAACGCCATTTTGGCAGACGCCTGGCTGGCGGGCGCTCGCTGCAGATGCAACTGATTTTGCAGACACTGGCGTCGGCGTGCGCTCGCTGTAGCTGCAACGCCATTTTGCAGACACTGGTGGGTGGCGGCGCACGCGAGGGCGCGGGGACGCGCCTGGCGCCGCTGGTGCGGGCCCGGCAACGCCCCCACGCGTGCGCGCGTGCGCGCCGAGTGCGTGCACGCGCGGCCTCACGCGCCGGGCCGACGTGGGCCGGGCGTGGGGCAGGGCGCGCGTCGCTGGCTCGTGGGAGGGCCGGCGCGGGCAAGACCTCTTTTTCCTGCTGGCGGCGGCGGCGGAGGCGGGCGGCGCGCACCCCGCTCGCTGGACCTCTTAGTGCACGCGCAAGGCGCACCGGAAGCGGCTGCGGGAGATGCCGCCTGCTCCAGGTAATCGCAATTATCTGTACTGCACAACGCGGCTCCCCGACCTCCAATGCAAGGACAGTCGCTTCATGTTGCACAGCGCGACAATGTACATCGACTAATACGTGCGGTAACGCCTCCGTTCACATCATTTCAATTCTCCCTTCAGCTAGTAACTTTTTCGAAGGGCAAAGTGGGTCAAAATTTTGAAAGGTCATTATGTTGTTCCTATTCTTTTCTCCATCACATCGAAATGCTCAACTTAACCGAGAACGCTGTCTGCGGCCGTGTTCTTTCTTCTGCATTGTAAAGCCCGTTTCTGCAGGCGGCGCAGGCTGAGACAAAAATATATCAACTATTAGTGGATGCATTTTTTGACGTGTTTTCCAATACTTCGTCTCCACTTCTTCAGACGTTCACTTCCGAAGGTACTGCTGTCGGTGGCGTGAATAAATGAAACGGCTAGAAGCGAGTCTGCGCTTCTAGCACTGCTCCGCCGTTTATGAATATTTAATATATCGCTCCCGAAGACTAAGGGGAAGGAAGTTCTTTAGATGAAGCATGCCTTTGCAATATTTTGAATTTCTTCAAATTAAAATGCTCGGTTTCGGATAATTCAACTTAAGTGGTCTATGTTATTGCAACAGTAGCTGAGTTTCTACAATTTCGATTTCTCAGATAGCAATGATCCTTTCCTGTGGTTGAGCAACCGAAATCTTAATGTTGGTCAAACGGTTGGCACCGATGTCTGACTTGCTAATGTGACGTCACGGGCAGGTATATACACTCTCAGACCAAGAACATGAGTGAGCTATGTATTGTTTATTTAGGAAACTATTTACAGTGTACAAAGCTCTCACTCTGAATTCTTTGTTGGACCTCACTCTCTTTCGCCCCTATCTCTGTACGCCTCGTGCGGCGGCACCAGCGTTTGGCCAAGCCAATTACCACCTCATGTCAGTGGTCACCTGCGTATGCACATGGCCAGAAAGGATTTTTCTCCGATTAACTGCGAGAGAAGCGCGGGTTACTTCGCGACTCTCACTTTTTCCGCAACGCTGGCTGACTTGGGAACACTGGCGCACGGCTACCTCTCCCTACTGAAAACCCTTCTGCCGGAGTGGCGTTCATTGTTGGAGGAGCTACCCTTGACCATGCACCAATGACTCTAATGTCTTTAATCCTCAGAACATTAAATTATCTCACACTAGTTAATCAACATCAAGCGGTAGTGCATGTCAATGTTTTTCATCCCTCCATATTTAAATTAATTTGCTTCCAAAGGTCGCGATCATGGTGGTCAAATTAAATCAACTCTCAGAAATAGTTCTTCCTTTTCGTTTTTCGTTCCTCCAAACAGAAATGAATACTTTGATGTAAGAGACCAAACGAATGAGTATTTAGCGAGATGCGGTAAACACGCTTTTTTATTAACTGCCTTATTGTTCAGATGGTCACGAAAAAGGCGGCCTAGGTGTTTCATGTGTGTCTCAGCCAATATTGTTTTTCCGTTTTTCTGTTTCCTCAATGCAGGTGGTCGCGTTCAAGGGGAGCAACATGTTTGCCCCGGTGCGTGTCTTTTTAATGTATTACGCTTTCCAACATGACATGTACGCTTTCGCTACAACGAAGCCTCTTTCTTCGCCGGCAGCGCTGTGTCCTAATGTGACAATCTGCTAGCAGGAGTGGATTTTTTAACTTCCCTGACGTTGAAATCTTCGTTTCCTTTGCAAGCGCTGAGGGTGGCCCACCTGGAGCAGGTGCTGGTGGCGGCAGCTGCTGGAGGACATGGGGTCGATCGCAGTGTACGGGCGGCGCTAAGCATAGGGCGTGGAAGAAATGTGACCGGTCTTGGTGCTAAGCGGGTGTTATTCTCTTTCCTAACGTTGAGATATCTGCTTCCTTTGCACGCGCTGAGGGTTGGCCCCGTGGAGCGCGGGTGCTTGCGGAGGTGCTGTCTTTCAACCCCCTCCTTTCCTGACGTTGAGATGTTCGTTTCTTTTTCAAGCGCTCAAGGTGGCCCACCTGGAGCAGCTGCTGGCGGCGGCTGCGGGCGCGGGGTCGAGCGCGGTGGCGACCGAGCGCAGTGTGCGGGCGGCGCTGAGCACTGGGGCGGTGGGAGTAATGGTGGACGGCGTGGACGAGCTGTGCCCGGCCTTCAAAGACAAGGTGCTGCGTCTGCTGCAGCTGCTGCTGCAGGAGACGAAGGCGGCGCCCGTGTGGGTGTCTTCGAGACCGGAGGTGAATATCATGCAAAAGCAATACCCACAATCAAGCGAAAAGGTGTCAAGGAATATTAAATGATTACTTCAAATGTTTTTGAGGAAGTGTGAATGGTTCCAAAAACAATAATCTCTATTATACTAAAAAAAACATTTTTGAAACTTTGTTTGCCACAATTATATAAAATTGGTTCATGAGATTGGTCATTGTGGGTAACGAAAAAATTAGTTGTCCCAACGTTTCAAAACGTTTAATTTCTTCATCAGAGCTAAAGTATAAAAACAAATGAAGAGTGCATGAGATAGCGTAGGCTTCCGCGGCCGGGGTCAGTATTTACTAGGCTGTCCGGGTGATGCCGCGTCCATGGCGAAGGTGCTGACGTTTCGGTCGCCATTCTGCGACCTTCCTCATTCCCGTTCCGTAATCTCCAGTAATACGTACAGTGCATGACACAACAAACATTTCAATAAATTGATTCATTAACTACGATTAATTTTTTAAACAAACAAAACTATTATAAACTAAGATAAATAAAACACTAAAATGTAGAAAGTACACACCTTCCTAATAATAATAAAGCAAAGTCTCATTTGAAGCCACCACACTCAACTCCGTACAGAGTTGCTTAAGCACGTGCGTCCATCGCGCGTCAAGTGTGAATCGGACCAAGGCCTTAACCGCAAATGTATGAGGACTGGTTGGATTGAATGGACCACGAGCTACAGCCACTCCATTCCCAGCCATGATTTTCCAGTCAAGTTCATATTAAATTAGCAAAATAACCCTCAACATTCAGAGGAAAGTTTATGCAAATGTAACTAGATGTATTGACAACAATTGTTATTATTATTATTATTATTATTATTATTATTATTATTATTATTATTATTATTATTATTATTATCAATGAATATAATCTGCACACTTTCGGTCATTATATTATTTAAAAATGAAATAAAAAATATATAAAACACACATATATGTATATAGTACATAAAATAAACACAAATTGGCGTGTTGAATTAAAGAAATCAATGCAATTGTCTATTAATTGTTAATATATATATATATGTGTGTGTGTGTGTGTGCGTGTGTGTGTGTGTGTATATATACACATACATATTATTTATGAATGAGAGCAATGAAAGTTTTGCCAACTAATTCACAAAAGAAACATGCTATAAGCTGGGTAAAGGAAGACCATGGCTATTAATTTAACAATAATAATAAAAACATCTAGTGTGGCGTCGTTAACACGAAGGCCAGAACCGTTAGGTCGGTGAAAGTGCGCTGCGGGGGAGGAAGGGGTTGAGCCTGAACTTCCGGGAGTTTGCGCTCTGGCGGTTGACTCAGGTAGAGCTGCTGAGCCAAAAATAACCGTAGGCTGTAAACTCCGAGGATGCTATCCAGCGAGCCTCGCTTACGGTTAAGCAGGCGAGCCAACCTGAGAATCCTGTGTGTGGGCGTAAACCAAGCTGCTGGCCAGCGAGCCTCGCTGCCGCCAGCCAGCGAGCCTATCTATGGAACAGTGGTGGGGGGGTGTCAGCCTCAACTATTTAACGCGGCGCCATCTGCGCCCGCGTTCTCATTCAGTTTGCATCGGGAAGCTTGTACGTGTGTGTACAAGGGGTGTAGGAGTGTGGGCGAGATGTCCGGAGAGTAAGGGCCAGACGATCTCGCGTGCTGTAGGCACACGACCGGGTTAAATTTTGGCGTCAGGCCATGTGACGGTAATTGTCACGGGACGGATGTCCGACAGCTCGCATCACGCGTGGCTTGTATTTTTCTGCGGTAAAGCAGGGTATTGAAAAGAAAAGGTTGCCGGAGTGTTTTAATATTAGCAATTTATTGTAACTTGTACATAATCTTTTAATATACTATTTTTATTTTGTTATTTGAATTCATTTCTTATTTCACTACGTCACACTAGTATGTAACAAGATACAACACTTTTTTGGATCCAAACCAATAAAGCATCCAGTTTCCAACATAATATGTGGTTTACAAACAAAATGGAAATAGCAATTTTGAGACTATTAGAGAGAATGGTAGAAACAATTTTATGTTCATATAGCACATTAAAATCCAAACACGATAAATATGGATCATGGAGATACTAAGGGTATCTTTCAGGATATGAATAATAGTAGTATCATGACTAGGAGAGTGAAATTTACAAGTGATTTGAATAATTACAATTTGAATGAAATAATGACTTTAATAATCAATATTCACGTAAAAGAGACAGTGCACAATTAGAATTAAAAACATTTGGCAGTTACAATTTGATACACTACCAAGAGCAGATACCCTAACCAACAATTACAATACAATACAAACGTAAAGATTAGGTTATCAACCAGTATTACATTATTCGCCTATTTTATAACATTGGATGTAAAGGTGATATAGAAACTATTACAAATTTAAGAGATTGAGGCGAGAGTTAAATAATACAAACGTTCAAGAATTGAAAACATTTTATTCGAACATCCCTTGACGAGGAAAAACAAAAGCACTACTTGATGTAACCTTGCATTGATTGCAGTTATTCAAAGTGATCAAGAACCACTCAATTCAACCATACTAAACTAACATACACTTTCAAACAGGAACAGAATGATAAACCAAAGGTCCATATAACCATTGCAAACAAAACACTATTTACGTAGTATTTACGATTTGGCTGTGTTGAGTAATTAAGCAGAAAGATAATTAATTTAACAAAATACAAAATATGGATGAAAACACTTATCATACATTTTCGTGTCAATTAAAATTAAATAATTTGATAAAATGTATTTTAAAAAATTAGTTCAAAACAATTAGACATTAAGTTAACAGTGTCAACATAATTTAGACTGCATTATAAATATTCGTATGTAAATAGCATATGCAAATTGAGAAATCTACTACATAGCATGGTGTACACTAACATTAAGCGTAGTTGTAAGTGAACGTGACACATTGAATTTAGGAGTGTCCAAATAAAGACACCAGGTGAACGTGAACAGGCTAAGGCCTGGTAATCAATGCACAATGTGAAGTTGCAATGTAAATAGCATGTAAAGTTGTTTGAAACATTCTAAATTTAAAATAAATTAATGAACACAAAACAACACACACAAAATATATACGTAACACCAATAAAGGATCACAGATACCAACAACTTAGAAAACAGGTTAAATCAAGTCATCAGCGATATAGTTAGGGAGTGTTGCCAATAACTATAACAAAATTAATGAAGCAACCAAAAAGAGATGAAAACTATGGGAAAGTTGGATGTGCAATTCAAACAATGTACGGAGAAGGATATTTTATTATGAGAATGATAAGGTTCTAAAGTTTGTTAATAAAATTAACATAGATCTGCTGTAATTTTCTACATCTGTTTTCTTAGTGCATGTTGAGTTCCTATTGATGTGTGTAATTTTTTTGAATAGCCTTTCCTTATGGGTAGATTCTTTGCAGGTGTCATTAAAATTGAAAATATGTTTAATTTGTTTAGTATGTTGTGCAAGGGCACATGTCGGAAAGTCTTTTTAATGTAATATTGATGCTAACCTTTTCTTCAAATATTGTCCAGTCTGACCTATATATTTTAAATCTCAACCTCCTCATGGATCAGAATATACAATGTCATTATTGTTCAATTTGGCAGTCTTCAGTTATATTGAAAATGGTGTTGCCTAGTGTATGCTTATAAGAGAAGGCAATGTTGCAATTATCATTGTTTATTGTATTGTGCAGTGCTTCAGATAAGCTTTGCATGGATTTGTATAACTTGTTTTCTTTGCCAATGTTACCTGTATTATAGAAACGTAGAGAGTTGTAAAGCAACTTTCTGAGCAACTCTCTCAGCAAGTTACTGATTAATTTCATGGGAAACCTATTAGGATTTTATTGACAATTTTTAAGTTTTTATGTACCCTTCCTCACAATATAAACTAAACAGTTGGTAGAAATCAACTTTACTAAGTTTGATATTCGTTTTGTCCTTGAGCTTGTCCCAGTTATTGGCACTCCGTAGCCAGGTGCACTAATATTGATGAATAATTAACTGACATCTAATGATATAATGTAGAAACCGGTATTCTGTTGCTTAATGGAAGAGTAAAATTTATTTATTTATGTCAAAAACAGTTAAAAACTGTGTGTGACGTGCGATGAGGAAAAGTTAATTTGAAGTTACAGTTATGTCCAGAAGCAAAACAGGAGGCCATCTTAGAATTTTTTCGAGGATCAGGAAAACTGGACGAAAACCTGATCGAGATAGGGGTCATTGACCCAGAAGATGAAGTACAATACTTGTTACAGGTTCTTTAGAATTATACAATCCAAATGGTATATAATACATTAAATGTCATTGCTAAAATTAATATTACTTTTCCTTTCGATGCTCGGTATAGTCTCTAATTGTATAAAAACAGTTGTGAAAGAAGAAAAGATTTTACTTGGGACTTAAAAACTTTTGTATCGAATTTAAACGTTTCACGTCATCTGGCAAGGTGGCGTGTATTTACTTGGGACTTATTGTATTTATTGTTTGTATCAACAGTATTGTAATCCGCGTCCCAAGACTCTTGCAGCAGGTAATTGATGAATAATTTTATTTTACTTTTAGTAAATAATGTACTCATACGTGTATTATTTATTGTGTCAGTATTCACATTTCTTATAATGGTAAGAATTTGTACATCGTGGTCACAGTATTCTAAATCTTTTGTTTCAATTTCATATCGAGTGGTGGTTTTGTTAATTATTATTTGATCGATTGCTTTCTTAGGAATTTAGTGTGATCCGTGTAGGTGCATTTATTGTAATATCTAAACTGATGAAATGAATTAAATTGAGAAACTGTTCTTTCTTGCACGATTCGACCAGATAATCAATGTTAAAATCTCCACATTCAACAATGGATCGGAAAGAGCTATTGGTTGTTTTATTTAATGTTATCTCCAGTTTTTTTTAAAACATAAATAATCTACTGCTCTCTTTGTTGGAGGCATGTAGATGCAAAGTAATATAGTTTTTAGGGTAGGAAGATGTACTACAGATATTTAAAGAAAACATTTTCAAC